GTTCAAACCCACCAGCCACTCCTCGGAAGGAAGGTTGGGCATTCCTACTTCCGTAGTGATACTGCCTCAGAAGCCCAAGGAGGGGTCGCTATGAGTCGGGGCCGACTCGATGGCAAACAACAACAACAACAACAAATACATGATAGATGCTTTATCGTTTTGTTATTGTCACTGGGTTTTGGCGACTACCCTTTTCCCCTCTAAGGAGCCCAGGTGGTGCAGTGGTTAGAGCACTTGGCTGCTAACCAGATAGATGGTTAGTGGCTGGAACCCACCAGCCACTCCGAGGGAGGAAGATGAAGCAGTCTGCTTCCATGAAGATTACAGCCTTGGAAACCCTGTGGGACGACAGCTCTACTCTGTGTCACAGGGTCGCTATGAGTCAGATCCACAAGAAGGCAGTGGGTTTGGGTTTGTTTGTTTTTCTCCCCTCAACTCCCACCTCCACCCGAACCTAAATAATAACTCACCACCAAGAGACTGGCAGGAGACCCAAAGCCCCACACACCCGGTTCACATCCGCACCAGGGGACTCGGCTAGGACTCAGCGCGGAAAAGGGGAGGGGGCCGTGTGTCCCCAGCTGTGTGCTCCCTGCTTTTAATAATCACCACGGCTCCCACCCCCATCCCCATTGTACAGATTTAGAAAGTGAAGTTCCAAGAGGTGTGGGGGCCAGGAAGCGGCAGGCTCCGCATTCGCGCCCAGCCCTCCTCCCTGCCCCACCCAGGGTGAGTCAGAGGGGAGATGGCCTTGGGCCTCGAACCTAGGTCTGACTTCCCACAGTGGCTTCTTTGTGACATGAGGGGCTGAGTCATCCTCTGGGGGGAGGGGGAAGCCCAGTTTTTGTGTCATCTCCTCTGCTGAGCTATCTTTGGATTTCCCCAAAAGTCCACAGCCAGCCTCACCCTCAGTCCTGGAAGCTAAAACAGGGCCTTCACCACCCCCTGCTCCCCGAAGATCCCTCCTGCCCTCTCTGGATGCCAGCCCACCTGGGAGTCAAAGCTGAGGGCTTGAGACATGAAAGAGACCCCTGAAAACATCTCCAACACCTCCCCTGAAGGAAGTTGTCATGAATTGAATTGTGACCCCCAAGAATATGTGTCAACTTGATTGGGCCATGATGATTGTCTGTGGTTTGACAGTTATGTCATGACATCATCATCCCCAATGATGCGATCTAATGTAATGACCCTCCTTTTCTGATGTGTTATAAACTCTGACCTCTCAGTGAAGGAGCTCTGGTGGTGTAGCGAGTGCTAACCAGAATGTCAGTGGTTCAAACCCACCAGCTGCTCCACGGGAGGAAGATGAGGCAATCTGCTTCCATAAAGATTTACAGCCTTGGAAACCCAATGGGGGTCGCTGTGAGTCAGAATCGACTCCATGGCAGTGGATTTGGGTCTATGGTCAATATTGTTGTCGTTGTTGTTGTTAGGTGCCATTGAGCTAGTTCCGACTCATAACAACTGTTCTGGTTCCCTAGTGCCGCTCTGACAGAAATATACAACAAATGGGATGGCTGAACAAACAGGAGTTTATTCTTACAATCTGGAGGCTTTAAGTCCAAGCTCAAAGTGCCAGGCTCTAGGGACTGGATGAAAGCCCCTCAACCTTGGGGTCCAGCTCTGCCTTGGGCTCCCAGCCTACTGGAGCTAGAAGCTTTTCTTCACTTAGACAGCTGCTGGCCGCTGAGAGTGGCAAGCCCAAGGTTGACAAGTAAACAGGCACAGTCCCGATGTTACCAAACCACATGGCAGGCCATTCATTCAAGTCCATTGACAGTCCCAGAGTCGGCAGAGTGTGGCAGGCTACTGAACAATGGCATGGCTACATGCAGGGTCCAAGTGTGCCATAAGCTAGTGACTTTTCCCAAAGCTGTTCCTTATATATGGGAAGCAGACCACATCTCTAAAGCAGCTACTCAGTTGGTTGTGCTAGGTCCCACCATGGAGCTGATTGCCAGTCTCATCATGGGGAATAACTGCCTCCAGCTGCCCAGCCACTCAACCAGGCCCAGCCAAGCTGACACACAAACTAACCACCACAGCAGCCCTTTGTACAACAGAAGGAAGGCAGGATTAGGTTATGTTAATGAGCGTTGAGGTTGTCAAAGAATTCACGTTGCTTGGTTCTACAATCGATGCCAATGGAAGCAGCAGTCAGGACATTAGACGACATGTAGCATTGGGAAAGTCAAGTGCGAAGGAACTGTAGCAAGTGCTGAGGAGCAAGGATATCTCCTTGAGGACTAAGTTGCACCTGACACAAGCCATGATATTTCCAATCGCCTGGTATGCATGTGAGAGCTGTACAACGAATAAGGAAGACCGAAGAAGAGTTGATGCTTTTGAGTTGTGGTGCTGGCGAAGAATGCTGAAAGTACCATGGACTGCTAAAAGAACTAACAGATCTGTCCTGGAGGAAGTGCAGCCAGAATGCTCCTTGGAGGTGAGAATGGCCAGACTTTGTCTCACTTACTTTGGTCATGTTGTCAGAAGGGACCATTCCCTGGAGAAGGATGTCATGCTTGGTAGGGTGGAGGGTCGACGAAAGAGGGGGAGGCCTTCAACGAGATGGATTGACACGGTGGCTGCAATGATGGGCTCAAGTATAGCAGGGATTGTGGGGCTGGCGCGGGATCGGGCAGTGTTTCGTTCTGCTGTGCATGGGGTCGCTATGAGTCGGAAACAAC